CTCTTACAGTAGGTCCCTGGATGAAAGATGTTCCATTGTCAGTACTCCGCCCCCCTAGCTGTGGTGTTTTTGTTTTTTTCCCTGTCCATGTGCTTTTGTTTTCCTTGTGTTCTAGCCCTGCCCCGCTCCCCGCCCGGTCTCCGCCCGCCTGATTGCCTCATCACCTTCACCTGCCTGCCTACACACCTGCTTCCCATCCCCTCGTCAGCCCTGCCTTATATCTTCCCTGCATGTCTCTGTCCTGTTGCTAGTCTGTTGCAGTGTGTTCTCTCGCCTGTTTCGTCCCCGCCGTTTTTCATCTGTGTGCTATTCCTGTATTCGACCTTGCCTGATCTCCGACCTGATTCCTGCCTGCCGCTCTGCCCTGATCGCCCGAGATTCTGCCCGCCTGGTTCTTGACCCTGCCTATTCCTGTTCCTGATTCTAGATCCGCCGACGGACTGCTCTTATGGTTTCGACCCTGCCTGTTTCGTGTTTGCGATCTTGTCTTGCGATTTAATAAATCCGCCTGGAACCCGAAGCTCCCGTGGTCTGTGACTGAGTCCTTGCCCAAGTCGTTACATCCATAGACCCATTAACAGGATAAACTGCCTCTCACAAAACCACACACCACAATGTCAGACACAAGTGTTTTATTGGAAGACCTCAAATGTCCAGATTTTCCTTATAAGGCAACTGTAATTTTTTTTTTTTTTGAAATAGGCAGTTGAAATAGGCACCATTTAAATTGCATTTAGCCTTTTAAAGATCAGTGGTATCAGAACTGCAGCTACTCTACACGGTGATCTGACACAGTTATAGGAATGTTCAGAGTAACAATTTATCTTCGAACGCTGCTTTACATTTTTAAACAAATGCTCATTCAAATATTTACAGAAGCAAAACAGCCACTATATTGCAGTTCAACTGTAGCTGCACTCACATTTGTGCTTGAAAATGGCAAAAGCATTTTAGAAGAAAACATTAAGTAGGTTAAAGTGCCCAGAGGTTCAGTAGTTTGAGTGCATATGTGAGAAATTATACTTCTTCATGAATACAGCCTGAAAATTCACATTCAGACACATATTTTCTGTGTAAAAGAAACATCTAACTATACAGACAATATTCAAAAGAACAAAATCAATTCCAATCAATGCATCTATGAAAAATGTGATAAAGCACTGTTTGGTTTTGAGGGATTTGGATACTTTTATACTGTAGATTTACAACACACCTCATTTAAAACAAAAATATGTAATCATAGTAAAAGTTCAAAAGTAAACAATCCAGGCTCTCACAAAAACATCTGAACCCAGAAGTAGTGAACAAAAGCAAAATTTAAACAGGTGTGTTGATGCTGTTTGAGTCATGTGACCTGCCATCATTACATCAAATAATTTATTAAATAACAAATAAATCAAATGACATTCTGTAATTAGAACATTTCCAAACAGAAAGCTATGGCTAGTAATACAATTACACATTTATGTTAAACATTTACATGAATCTCAGTGCTTTGTTCCAAGAGGCGGAGAAACCCTGATAGCCTTCACACACAGAATGCCTTTCACAAATATTACAGATAAATTTCACTCACGCACCCCTTTCATTAAAACAAAACACACAAACAGTTAAGAGAGGAGAAATTAAAAACATTCAAAATGGAGATCATTCCACATTCTCCTGGGCGGTCATTGGTAATAATTTATCTTTGCCAGAGATGCCAAAGGTGCAGACTAGATAGGATTGCAGGTTGACAGTATAGAGGTCTATAAATGTGTGCTCTGCATAGGTGTGTAATAATAATACATTCAGAGACATGTTTAGGGAGTGTCTGTTGTGTCTGACACACATGTGCTAATTAGTGAGTCTTCGTTAAGCCAAGGCACACAATCTGGATTAATTTCACTGAATCTGTACGAAACACTCTCACTCTGTGTCGTTTATTATGCTGGTGGTGTCGCATTCATCGAAGTTTCTTTGGTACCGTATTGTAGAGGTGAAGCGTGACCTGTTTTTCTTGTACAGGACGAACACCGCTGCGGCGAGAAGCGTCACCACAGTGATCAGAAAGAAGGCGACAGCAACGGATGTGCCGCGTGAACCTGCAGAGGGAGAGAGAGAGAGAGAGAGGAGAGAGAGAGAGAGAGAGAGGGGGAGAGAGAGGGAGAGAGAGAGAGACAGAGAGACAGAGAGAGAGAGAGGGGAGGGAGAAAGAGAGAGAAAGAGAGGGAGAAAGAGAGAGAGAGAAAGACAGAGAGAGGGAGAGAGAGAGAAAGAAAGACAGAGAGAGGGAGAGAGAGAGAAAGAGAAAGACAGAGAGAGAGAGAGAGAGGGAGAAAGAGAAAGACAGAGAGAGAGAGGGAGAAAGAGAAAGACAGAGAGAGAGAGTGGGGTCAGCGAGTCACCTGTGCTCTGGTGGCAGCTGGACAGCTTCCCATGGGAAATGGGAAGCAGAAATCCTACCTTTAGACTGAGCTTCACTCTCGGCCTATTTTCACACAACACATCGGCCTGCTTTCACACAACACACTGCTCTCACCCTGCTTTCACACAACACACTGCTCTCTGCCTACTTTCACAAAACACACTGCTCTCACTCTCCTTTCACACAACACCCCACTCTCACCCTGCTTTCACACAGCCTGCTAACCAGCCCAGTCACTGGGACCCACCACTAAATAACATTTTGTTATGTTGATATAACATGTTGATTTGTTGATTTTTTGTTTTAAGTTTGAAAAATCAATTGATGCGACAGAATCTCTCAATATTGAGAACTATATGTTGCTGCTGCAGGATACAGCGTGGAAAGGGAAGTACTGTTTCTGCTGACTGGCAGGGATAATTTAGCTGATTCACCGCCTGACTACCAATCAGCAAACAGGAAAGCAGGAATGATCAGCTAAAAATCGATCAGCCAATGATCAGAAACCTGAGCTTAAACTTTCTCCAGCTGTCTCTCAATCTGTCAGCACTGTACCTGCGCAATTCAGAAAATCAACACTGGGCCCTAAAAAGCAAAACTAGCCTGCCAGCCTGCTTGGGTCCCGTGTGCCTAACCGAACCCCCCAAGTACTCACGGACGGGCGCCTTGCAGACGATTCGGCTGCGGCTCTGACTGCAGCTGACCCGGCTCCACACGCCGTCATTTGCGGAGATCATGGCGGCGCAGTTGAGCTCCGTGTCCTTCGCTGAGCTCGCGTCCCAGTTTTTGAAGACCAGGGTGGAACCATCCACCCACCTGGGATTATCTGAGGGACAGAGAGGAGGGGGGAGGAAGTATGCTCATGCGTCTTGCATGGTGATGAAGGCACACCTGTCTGCCTGCCTGTTTCTGAGCAATGGAAGAACTGGCGAGGGGCTGGATGAAGCAGGTGTTGGAGGTGCAGAAACACTCAGAGAAAACTAATCCAGACAGGCTGCTGACAATTTTGTGCCAGACACTTTACATGGAATGGAATGGAATCACCTAAACACAGCTTCTACATTTTTTTGCAGATTTAAGTCTGCACCTTACCTAAGATCCAAGTGGAAACTTGAAATCATTTCCTAATACTAGCCATTTGCAGGTGTATAGCACATTAGCTGACCAAGCCTCCCATTCACATACTCTTGCTACTGCTTCTGTGTTTGACGTTCCAACATCTGAGGCTCTACTTGACGTAACTCCTTTAAATGTGTTTGAGAGGTGACTGTAGCGTCTCTATCTGTCCCAAGGAGTAGAGTTTATGAGGACAGTGGCAGTAATATATCTATCTGTCTTGAGGAGTAGAGTTTATGGGGACAGTGACTGTAACATCTCTATCTGTCCTGAGGGATAGAGTTTATGAGGACAGTGACTGTAACACCTCTATCTGTCCAGAGGGATAGCGTTTATTAGGACAGTGACTGTAGCTTCTTTAGCTGTCCTTGGGGATATGATTTTTGAGGACAGCTCGTTACCCTTTTTGTCCAGGTCCAACCCGAGCCAGACGCGGCTGGTGATGAGGGGGTCTTCCCTCACGTATCTGGAGACGAAGTTGTTCTCGTCGTGGTCCTTTATGGTCAGGAGCTGCGATGATGTGTCTGCCAGCACAGAACAACGCGAGACGTTAGTGCAACCAAACATAAACTGGCTGAGCGAACAGGACCTTGAGACCCGGCTGTGGGCCGTGTAATCAGAGCGGACGTACGCAGCCTCCCACAGACGGCCTTGGCATCCTCCATGGTGTACACTGAGTAGTTGTAGAAGGTCATGTCAAACGCATAGCAGTGATCTTTGAACTGGATCCACTTAGAGGTTCCTGTGCCCTGAGGGCAGTCACTGGAAGCAGGGGAGGACTGAGGGCTTGACCCTGTGGAAAAGATAATCATGTTAAAGCCGAGCGAAGGGGTATTATTGTTAAATCAGGATATCAGTTCACTGGCATACAAGCTACATGTGGCTGGTATGCTGTTGCATTACATTACATTATTGTCATTTAGCAGATGCTCTTATCCAGAGTGACGTACATAGGTTACAATTTTAACGTTATACTTTTATGCAGCTGGATATTTATACATTTATACAGCTGTGAACGAAGTGTGCACCCGATAATAAACTGCTTTTTGACTGGTCTCAGAACACAAATAAAAAATATAGTTCCATCAGATCAGACTACCAGCCAACAGCAGCTGATACCTCTGGAGTCTGTGAAGGCCGTTATGAGCTGTGAGCTGTAATTTAATACTAACTGTAATCTGATGCTGACAGTCTGACTGACTGACTATCACTAAGATAAAGATGTGACTGTAACATGGTCCTCTACCCACAGAAGACACTATTTACACTTTTCAGTTACAGTATCTGTTTTTGACATTTTGCCAGGTTGTGTGCCATACAGCCCAAGGGAACAAAAAAGCAGAGATATTTTTTTTTTGTTTCCCCCTTTTCTTTTTCCTTATTTTTGCAGCCTCCTCTGACTCCTGCCCTAAAATTCGCTGTTTTTAAAAAATTGGCCCATTTTTAAACACAGCACCGCCCTCTTCTCTGCCTGACTGGCAGTGTAGCACAGTGGTAAGGAGCAAGACTCACAACCGAGAGGTTGCCAGTTCAATTCCCTGCTGGGCCACTGCCGCTGTACCCTTGGGCAACGCACTTAACCCAGAATTGCCTCAGTAAATATACAGCTGTATAAATGGGTAACATGTTAAAAAAAATGTAACCATTTGTAAGCCGCTCTGGAGCATCTGCTGAATGTCAATAACATGATGACTGAATGGCAGAAGTGCTGCCGGGCGTGGCCTCCGGGCGTGGCCGCCGGGCGTACTGGGGGTGGTGCTGTGGTAGCAGATGGCTCCGTCCTGCACAGAGGAGCAGTTCTTCCTCTCCCAGGCTCCTCTGGTGTTCACGACGATGCAGCTGCCTTCGGGGTCGGAGTGGGTGTACGCCCCCGGCTCGTAGTTGAACGCCGTCCCGTCTGACCACTCGCGCGGGGAGCCCCGGTCCTGAAAACGTTTTTGGAGAGCAAGGGGACGCGTTTATTAATGTTCCAAAAGAGAACGAATGAACATGGAAACAAATTTAACCAGCAAAAAACGGCCTGATTTGACAGGCAGTGGAGCTGTCCTCCCTTCCCGTGCTGAAGGCACTGAACAGGCTGCAGTAACCTGCTCTGCCAAAATGGCTGCTTTTCACACACAAGCCACACAAACTACACTGAAAGTCATTATTAGGTCTTCCTAATTCCCAGAATCCTTTGTGCAGAAGGAGACGGAAGTCAGCACTGGAGGTCGAGGCATGCCGGTGGCCCGAGTCACTTACGTCCTGACTGGAGAGGCCGATCCACAGCGGGAAGCCGTCGATCTTGGCGAGGAGCTCCAGGTGGGCATCCTGCTGTACGTCGTGAATGCTGGCCAGGTGGCCTCCCGTGCTCCCGCACTTACGCAACGCCTCGTACCACGTCAGCCTCTCCTGGATCACGCTGTAGTTCAGGTTGCGGTACTCCTTGTAATCGTCCACGTTTTTGCTGAAATCCTCTTTTGAATCTTGGGGGGGAAACAAAAGGAGCAACAAAGAGGGGACAGCAGTTCAGCTGTGGTGCCGCTCTCGTTACAGGGGCGACAGCCATAAATGTGTGCTGGAGTAGCGCCCCCTACAGGAAGCACCTTGACATAATCAAGCCCAGCTAGGGATACTCAGCTAGGGGAACATATTGTATTATTATTCTGCCCCTAGGGCAACATCACCTTCTGTAGTGGACACTCACATACTCAGTTCATGGTTTCTCAAATTCTCTCAGCGGAACCTAAAGAGCACAAATGTTATCTTTGCATAGTCACATTATAAAATGGCTGCCACAGCTGCCAAACCTACCGTAGTCGAGTTTGCAGGCGATGATAGTTAGCTGCCTGAAGCGCGCGTAGTAGCGTTGATTCTTGACTAACTCCCAGAGGCCTTCCTTGTTGAGGCCGGCCATGAATGAGTCAGTCACGTTGGGCCGTCCGTCCTTCCAGTTGGAGTACTGGACGTAGGTGCCGTCGTACCATTTCAGCTTGTTATCTGTGGAGTGACAGAGACAGACACAGCCGTCAATGTCAGGGTTCTGAAACAGCATTTCTTGTTTTTACTGTGACACAAACTACAGCTACACAGAGAGAATAATCTGATAATATTAACTACGCATACTATAGGACTGTGCATTTTTTCAGCTTCACAGATGGAAATAGCACACCTAACCTGGGAAAAGTAAGACATGGCATGGCTGAAACTGCCTATTTCTACCTCTAAACACCCAAGATAGGATGGAAAACAAGAGGCCAGCCATGTCATACTGTATTATAGGATGTAAGACACACTGTGACGGTAAGTCACTGAGATGCTGGAATCCAAAAATCCAAAAATCAGTGACTTGTTTATCCAGATAAACTTGAAACCAAATCTATAATAACATCCCTTGGGCATTTAGTGAGATTCTCCTTTACCACTGCAGAATACTATAAGGGAAATCAGCATTAATGCCAACATCTGAGAACAAACACACAAGACCTACTGTTGCCTTTCTCTATGTCCACCAGGCTACTGTGTGTACTGATAATGGGTGTGAACTGAGAAAGACGTGCTCACCGGCGCTGTCGTTAAACACTCCGATCCACACATAATCCACCAGATCTTTGAAATGCTGGAGCTGCTGTCTCACAAACTCATTCTCAGCCTCGTTTCGGATGGTTAAGATTTCAGCATCGGGGTCTGGGGGAAGAAAAGGATCAAACTGTCAGTGGGGCCGATCAAATGGACAATCTTCTGATAAATGACAGCTCACTCTTCTCTGAACTTGTTTCTGACTAGTAGTGTGTGTGTATTGTGTCTGTATGTGATGTGTGTGGGGGAAGGGTTGGGCAAATTTGGATGTACTCCTGTCCTTAGTTAAAGAAGTATTTACTGAATCACAGCACTGCTCCCCAGGTGTTGGGGAGGCTGAACCAAAGGTAGCACCTGCTTTCCCCTGGTGTTAAAATACAAGCACAAAAACCCCCCGTGAAGCTGTTGCCAGCGTTGAATTTCTCACACCGTTATTCCCGCACTCTTCTTGCAATATTTTGGTGGCTTACAAAGGAAGGAAAGCAGACGTCCCTTGCTTTTCTTAAATATAATACAGGCTAGCGCCTGCGTGCAATTTCATTAAATATGCCCAGGTACTTTATTGCACGAGGTGACAGTTTTGCAGGTATCCCTGATTGAACCTACATGCCCTTGGTCTCAAATGCAGAGGGGGAACACCTCTGAGGAGCACCCCTTCTTACCTACGTTCTTGCATGTTTCTCGGACATTCCTCTTGACAAAACTGTCCCACCGGGAGGCTGCCAGCTGGAAGGTGTAGCAGTGACTCCGGAATGGAATCCAGGTGGGCCCGTTGGCTTTGTGAGGGCATTTTACGTTTACATGCTCTGGGGGCAACTCAGCTGAAAGGGGAAGGAAAGCGGAAAAAGAGCTCAAATGTAAGCGGGTAATCTACCATAAAGAAGCTCTGCAAAGCTCTATGTCCCACTTTGTCTTGCTGCACTATGTGCTGATCAAGGACCAGTTTTATAATTCATCTCACAAGGGTTAAACTTAGAACTGTGGCTGGGGAATCTAGCCCTGGATCAGCATTAACAGGGAACGTCTAAGCACTGTAATGCTTTTCCTGCCCAGTACTTGTCGTTAGGGTAGCTTGGGCTGGTGTACTCACTGCCAGTGTAAGGTGCAGAAATGACACTGGCTCCACAACGCAAGTTATTTACTATGTAAATTTACTATGCTGAGCAATTAATGCCAGGCCGCATGGAATAGTCATATGACGGAGAACTAAAATGAACACGCCTAGCTAGCTATCAACTCACTGATAAGGGAGACCCTGTGAAAAAGAATGAGTAAATCTTGAGTCATTGCATGAGTTCAATGCACCCAGGAACATACATATATATAGGATATACATCACCTGTGCAGAGTGGGAATGAAGGTTAGCATAAACAGAATTCTTTAACGGTACAGCAGCTGACTGTTGCACCATGATCACCCTACCATGGTCATCTCGAGGGACGTGGCAGATGGCTCCCGGCAGCTCGTCCTCGCAGTCCGTGGCCTTCCAGAAGCCATCGGTGTCCAGGTAGACACATCGCCCGCTGGTGGGCTCGGGGGACCAGCGGCTGAACACTGTGTGAGTGTGGTCCGTCCAGCGGTAGTGGATTCCATCCTGGCCAGAGGGAGACATGCGTTTACACTGGCCCTAACCTGGGCCACACCGGTCCAGCATGGGCAAACGGTTTTGTCATCATTTTCCTGGCTTTTAAGGAACCCCATTTTGGAATGTCCAATTGCGTACACTGGGCTCGCCTCACCATGGCAACGTCTGCATTTGCGCAGACGCGACAGGTGCAATCCTCCGACACACTCGCATGCAGCCAGCAGCTTATTTTCACACTGCAAGTCACTCAGCGCACTGCAGCGGAGCGGGTGCTCATTGGAGGATAGGCACTACTCCAGTGACATCATCAACTCCCAGGCGCCTGAGGAGTCCCAGGGTGCCTGAGAGCGGAGAGACGAGCCCTGGCTGCCCCACCCACCCCGGCTCCTGGCAGAACAAAGCCTGATCCTGGTAACAGACAGCCTGTGCTCAAAGTTAACTCCTTTCCAGCTGAGCCACTCGGGACCACAGCATTGGCTGATGCTAATATTCCATACACAGAGACCTCTAGATAAATGATCAGAATGCTACCAGAATGCTACCATTCCATTCAGAGTGGAGCATGTACCTAACTAATTGAGTTTATGAGCATATTTAAACCTTTTAGGAGGTTACGTAGAGGAAAAAAATGTGTTTGCGATTAAAGTACATTTACAGCTACATGTTATTATGAAGTAGTTTAAGTGATCTTATGGCTACAGAAAGAAAGGAAAAGTATGTGATTCTGTCTATATGCTGAGTGGGGTGGACCACACCAGCGACTCTGGTTGAATTGTTAAATTTAAATTAAACCGACATCAGGTTACTCTGAAATACTGCCAGCTGTTTACTTTGCAGTTAGCATACAACATGCATTGTATCTAACTGTAGCACGAAATTCAGCGGAAACACACACAAAGTGAAAGCGTTTAGCTGGACATACTGAGTGCATATTTATGTTACATGCCCAATCTGTTCAAAGAAACATTCTCCCTGGGTTTCTGGGCTGCATGGAGCAGTTTGCGTTTCCGAGAACGGGAGGAGGCTCCTACATCTTCGCTGAAGAAGCCGATCCAGAGGGGGCCGTTGAATCTGCTGGTGGTCACTGAGAGGTTGACCTGCTGGTAGATGTCCGAAATGCTGGCCAGGTCCATGTCCTCGTTCGCGCACTTGCTCCGCGCCATAAACCAGGTCATGTTCTCCTGGAGGATTTTGTACGTGTGCTCCTTCACGTGGAACCTCCCTTTAGGAATCCAGGGCTCCTCTGGTTTGTCTGAAACCATTTTTAGGAAAAGTTTTTTTTGTTTTTGAGTCAGAATATCTACACTCCACTCAGGACACAATCTAATTTCCAACAATGCTCTTTCACATGTTTCCATGCCTATTTGATTTGTACACAGGGACAAAAATCTACTTCTTTGTCCATTGGCTCC